GTTAAAATCTTTGTGTTCTTTTTGTTGATTACTGTATCTCGATACTACGATATTATTCCTTGTTATTACCGTGAATATTATTTATGTGAGGGATTTATTCCCAACAGAAATAATCTGTTCAAAATAACAAGCCGTCCAGCTGGTAAGCAGTTCCTTCCGGATAATGGTCTCTTGAAAAATGGCAATAATGCCAACGCAGATTAACCAGAACTACTCCAGAACTACAGTGCATGTTTGAGCCAAAGAAAAGCTACGGAAAAAGAACAGAAAAGGCTTAGGATTTCACAGGTTTTGCTAGAGAACCAATCAAAATAAAACACACAATTCTGGGATGTGAGTAAAGGAGGAAAAGATTCTACAACGACAAGAAATGTCTGAATCCAAGTCAAAGAATTTGAAACACAAACACTTTCCAAAATCCTAACTTCCGTAGAAAACCTCTACTATTTTCGCAAGGTAGCATTAGAAAACTTCAATGCAATTATAACGTAGTAATCCTTGAGAGCTACATCATGCAGTAAAGAGGAGGAGCACCAGAATAGAGAAGTTAGTTATCCCCAATTATTGAACTTATCAAAGGCAACAGAGATGTATGATCCTCAGAGGCGAAACCGGGATTTAAAGCTTATGAGTTCAGGACTCAAGTTCTTTTAAGTTACTGGATTCTAATTTAATATTTTGTGCATATTCAATGAATTTGTTAAAACAAATATAAGGTTTGGACCAAAGCTACTGGGTTCGGCCGAAGGGCTGGTGATGATCCGAATTCCCAAGTATTACATCTGATGTAAGTTACAATGCAGATGAAGATATGGAATGTATCTGTCGAGCCCCACGAAGAAAATGAACTAGAGTTTTCCAAAGAGCATAGATTCAAATGTTGCTGAGACTTCCTCTGTCTTTTTACATATTTGCTCTGGGCCAATCATCAAACTGTGACCAGCTTTTCCCTCTTAACATTCAACTTTCTAGAATTCCAAGAAAAGGAATTTCATTATTTAAGATTAAGAACTCACTACCACGGTTACAGTTTCCACTAATACCCAAACATCCTATATGAACATGAGAGGTAAATTGTTGTCTTAACATCATTCATACAAGAACATGCTTAATGCTGTTATAAGAACTAAATAGGAACATGCTTAATGCTGTTATAAGTACCTAAATGTTGGGATGACATGATAGGTTACTGACATATCCACCTGATCCAGCTACACAACTGATCAGCAAAGATGACAATGAATCTTGCAGAATTTGTATTAGCCCCTTATACATACTTCATGCAAACCCTAGTGAAGGTAACTTTCTTCCCCAGGAAACACCTTACTTCCTACAACTAAGGCATCAGAGTTATCCCACCAGGGTTTCCAGCCATTCGCCGTTTTGTTCTCAAGGGCTGGGTGACAGGAACCATTGTGGAGTTCGGTTCCAAGCTAAATGCTATCGCTTTGACCTGTGAAATTTCAAGTCTAAGGGTTCTGTCACCAACGAGTGTATCTCTATGCAAGGAGCACTAGAACTCAAAACACATTTACTCCTACTTTGAGGCCAAAACTTGGCAAGGAAAAGTTCCTTTAGTTCAATTTAGAAACCATAGAGCTTGATTATAATAAAAACATATACTTTTGAAACTGATTCCCTACCATGATCAGGCCTCATTATCAGCAAGCTGAAGAGCTGAAGTTTATTCCACTAGTAGCAAGATATTATGAACTAAAAACATTATATATACAGTTTTTACCTTTGACAGCATTTTGACATATAGTGATGCAATCAAATCTAAGAAATCGGTTTAAAACATAAACACAGACTTCAATGGTGCCCAGCAAATATATAACTCTATTTTGAAAGGCAGCACCATGACTTCTATCAAGAACCTCACCACAAAGAGAGAGAAAGGAAGGCCTCATCGTAGCTATATAACATTGGGCGGAAGGACTGTTATATTCCAATCTAGGTGGAGTAAAATGAAGAAAAAAAGGATAATTTTATATAGCTATCTCCTTAATAAAATATTGTGAACCATGAAATCATCCGGCATCAGTTATCTAGCTATATTCTATTACCAATTGACACCATTTTGGATGCAGCTCTCCTGACAAAGAGTGAAATTCCACCCGCCCCTTTCCCCTCTTGAAACTTATGCACGCTTTGGTGCACTTATTGAGCCTAAGGAAGACCCAAACCTAAAGGCATTGGACGAACTGAGGGTAAGCGAGATAACCATGTGTGCTGAAAAGGACATCGTAGCATTGACAATACAACAATAGCAACAACTACTGCTCTTCAAGCCCAAACTAGTTGCTGCCCCAAGAATGGATGAAGGAGGAGGATCGGGTGGCCAGTGCAATACTAGTCAATAAATAGCTTACACTATGATCACTCCCTGAATTTTCAATATCAGCCATGACAGGACAAATCAGTTATCCCTCATTGTTAATATCATCATAAACAAGAGACCAGCAAGCAAGATAGAAACATCTGATTCAACAACTCCCAGATAATTCCTGGTATATACATGGTTCAAAGAGTAAGCAGACACAGCATACACTAAAGCATAACCAACAAAGGCATAACTAACATGACATTACCATCCAAAAGAAACCACTCATATATGGACTAAAGGAAGCAAAGCTATCCAACTAGCCACTAAAGACAACCAAATCGACGTCAAAATTTAAATAAGCCTGAAGAAGCAATGGGCTGCATTGGACGAGGGATCTGCAACGGCTTCAGCAAAGGATCAGCAGCATCCACAGCTAAACCAGTGTCATTAATAACATCATTTAAGTACCTCAGCCTATCATTCAATTCCATTGCATGTGCCTTCAACACATTATTCTGTGCAGTACAAACTGTATACCTTTCTGTGGTCTCTTCAATTTTTGCCAAGATGTTCTTGTTAGCAACCTGTAATCTGCTCACTTCCCCAGTCAAATCTTGCAGAAGTTTTTGCTTCTTCATCCTCGAGCGCCTCGCGGATTCCCTGTTAGAAATCATCCTTTTCCTCTTCTTTTCATCCATTCCTGCGTACCTTTGATCATCTTCTGATGCAGATGAACTAGCACTCTGCCTTAAAGCTGACATTTTTCCTTCAAATATTATGGCTATAAATTCAATAGTACCCCAATTCTCTGATTTTAGAGAAGACCAATTTGTACTTTTGGGACAATCAAAGAGGTTGCTTTGTTCTTCAATAAAAGAAAGCTTCTATTCAGACGGTGTTTCCAAAAGTGTCTTCATGAAAAAACATAGAAATGATAGAGGAACAATACAGAGAAAGATTGAAGAAGACAAATGCCTAACAGAGTGGTGGAAATCACAGATATCATAGAGTGATTCCTAACTAGAGAAACCTCAAATTCATTGTCGAAAGTAAAATCAGCAACAAACCCAAAAAAACCCACCTTGGAATCTCCTAAAAGAATACAAACAACAACGTTAGAAATGTGATTTCAAGATATGGTTTTGTCACAAAAAGGCAAATCTTTGTTTGAGACAATGATCAAAGGTTGTCAATGCCAGAGCAGATTGAGAAAAAGAGAAAAAGGGAATCAGGAGGAAAGAAGAAGCAGAAATCAATAAGCCAAAAATAGGAAAGAAGATTATGAACGCCAAAGACAAAAAATGGTAGGTGGAGATAATTAAGGAAGAGATTAATAAGGAGAAACCAGAAAGTTATTTTGGGAGGAGGAGAAGAGGATTACGTTACTCAACCTTTGAAAGGTGATTTTGAACTGGTACAGGATAGTTTGAAGGCGAGAAGAATGTTCGTGATGACAATTGTAATGCACAGCTGTGGAATACTATATGAGTATTATTTCTCAAAATTAATATATTAATGTTTATCCCTTAATTGTTTTAACGTGTTGAACATGTGAGTTATCTCCCAATACATTATTAATTACGTCAACGTTTCCTTTCCTATAATAGTTATTGTTAATAATATAATTAAAATGCTCATTTGTATTTCCACTTATTGCTTTTATAAAATGGAAATTTATAATCAAATGGAAATTTAAAGATTCGTCAATTGTGCCTTAATTTTCATTCCAAGAGAGGAAAAATATTTTTTAGGAAATAGATTTTTTGGCACTTTGTAAATTTTGCTCAAGTTGACTAAACTCGTAAATTCTGAATGATAGAGGGTTTTCTTGTAAGATTGTAGAGTAAAGATGGAATTGCAGCCTAACTGATTGCAACTCTAATCACAAAACATTCAGTTAGATATTCAAAATAATATCTAATCGAATAATAATCATTTTCATATTTAAATAATGTCAAAGTTTGTTGAATTGGATAAGAGTAGCAATGGATGGCGCGAAAAAGATAGATTAGGATAGGACTGGACTTTATTATTAGTAGTATTTGTTTTGGATGGAGGAATTATTAAATGCTTAAAGCGTGGATTAGATTAGATGAATGAGGTAAAATTCTTGCTTTGATTTAAAAGGAGGGGTTTGTTTGTAATTTCAACAAAACAATCGGTTTAAGAGTACATTAGAACTTCATTACCAGAATGGGTTCGTTGTGTTGTTTTATCCAACCCCTAATGAGCCATTTTCAGAAAAGGCTTCTAGATATATCTCGACTAAAAAATAAGTAAATGCTTCTAGAGACAATATTTTGGTCAAAAGCATGTCGCAAATAACGATTGTTCGACATATATTAAATTAAACAGTAATTTTGTGAAGTTTTGTTGATAAATACAACAGTTCTACAATCAAACGATGTGCAAACTTATCATGAACAAGATCAAAGCATAATAGAAACTAGAAATTAAAATGATTTAACTCTATCTCTTGTAATCTTCTAGGTTACGCCCACCAAAACTTTACCAAGAAGCAAACACACATGACCTTTTTTTGGGGAGGGGAATTAGTGCTCTCTCTCTCTCTCTCTCTCTCTCTCTCTCTCTCTCTATTTCAGTCTATATGAAAAATAGTAATAGTGTCATATAAACATTTTCTTTCTCATGTTTGGCTGAAAACACTAGAGAGTGAACACAAGCAATGGGGATTTCAGAACTTGGTTGGATAGTTCTTTCATAAAGTAATTGGAATTCCCATGCATTTTTACAGTACCAAATAGATTAGTAGGGGTAAAAGAAAAGAAAAAGAAGAGGATTCCATTCCTGGTGATTCCAGGAAAGAAGCATCAGATTTGAGAATTCTATACCAATTTTCCACCAGAAAAACATCAAGCTTCTGTTCCTGGCTCCTGCATTTTCTCTTGAAAAAGTACTAACAAAGAGTGCCTCCTCCAATTCCCTACACAATTCTCTTCAAGAATACTCTTTATTATCTTTCTCTACCTTTCTCATCGAGATCTCGATACATAGTATTGTTCCAAAAACCTAATCAAATCAAAATGTCTTGCCGTGTTTTGCAGAATAGATTGATGAGGCATACTCCTAGCTAGCCAGACAAGAGTTATCGCTCACCATAAATCACATTGTGGAACGTGGTCACCAACAAGTCAAGGATCCATCACGGGCCTCTAGCACGCTTCAAATTTTGCAAACACCACCACAAAATCATATTTCTTGAAATGCCCAAGGATTTTCAACTCATCGTTGTACCTGACAGCCTAAAATGTTATTTCAGGCACAGATCCCAAAAGGGAAAGAACAACTACTTACTTAGGTCAGTAAGACCTTGAAGAGGATTTATCCAAGCACAATTAAAAGGCTAACTTCAAAGCAAGAGTAACATACTGTGATTTCCAATGGGCAAGCTAGAATACAGTGAAAACCAATCTGATACTAGATCAGGGACAGATAATATTTCAAAAATTTTAACAGAGGTCTATTATAATTTCTTAATTGAAAAAAATGAAAGCTTAGGCAAGGACAAGACATCCTTCAATCGGAAAAGCAAAGATATTAGACAAAAATCAAAAGTCATATTCCGACAATCCTCTGCAGCTACATTCCAACTCCCACCACCATAAACACTGAAAATACCACCTACTCTTGGATTAAAGAGAAAAAATGAGTAGGGAATACCCGTTTCTTCTAAACCAAATCATCCACAAAGTGGAAATCCTAGCAGCAAAATGAAGATAGTAACACGTTCCTATTAGATCAATAGAGTTTAATGTCTACCTTGTTATTCATTTCTGTTGCATTTATAAGCAGTGGCAGAAAATGTACAAGTGGTCCTGGATGTCTCCTACTATGAGTGAAAGGAGTCCATAAAGTCCAAATGTTTCCTATGTCCTGTACAACGGTCCTCCTCTTACACCAAAAATGTAATTTCTTAAGCATCTAAATATTGTAAGCATGACAGTACACACGACTAGCAAATCATTTATGTATAAACATTTTTCCCAGGAGAATAAAATAAGAATATAGAAGAACAACTCAAACTCTTTCAGATATTTCTTTTAACAGGTAAGTGATGTTTATATCTATACTATATTAAAAGCACGGAGCCCCTTAGCCAAATGTCGTTCGTCTTTTTTACCCTTTAAAAATTGATTTCACATTGGACAAAATAGTTATTTCACTATTTTCCTAATATTTAGTACTTTGAATTCAACTAAAATTTTGATTATTAAATCTTTCCTTACATGTCCAACATATGAATGAAGTCCTAATATTTAGGACTTTAAAATCATTAAGGCTTTACCTTATATAATTTTTGAATTATATAGCATAACTATAACCTTCATATTACTTTTAAATCTCGTGCTATAAACTCAAAATGAAAATCGTTAACACAAAGAATAGTTTAAACATTAATATTGTTTACTAAAAAATAACAAAGAGCAAAATATGGGTCAAGACGTAAACTGCATGAAAGGCCAATTTATTTAATTTCCAAATATGTCATATATGTAAAATCTTACTTTCGAGTTGACAAAATTCTATTTATAGAGTAGTGACACTAAAAGAAATTAAAAAACAAAACAAAACCGGTTGTAGTATCTATCTATCTATATCTATACTATATTAAAAGCATGAAGATCCTTACCGAAATGTCGTTCGCCTTTTTTGCCCTCTAAAAATAAATTCACATTGGATATAATTGTAATTTAAGTTACTTTTCTAATATTTAGGGTATTTAAATCACCTAAAATTTTGGTTATTCAATATTTCCTTATTGAACTAAGTAAGAAGTCCTAATTTTTAGCCTTTGGCCAGCAGAACATATTAACTAAAAAGAAAACGTGAGTTTCTTACAGCTAATAGAATACTATTTATGAAATAAAATTAACCTACAATAAAGGACTAAAATTTAAAACTAATGCTTTTTCTTTTTCATTTCAAAGTTGATCTTTATTACACACAAAAATATATTCTGAAGTCCCTCAATTTAATGTTAAAAATTATAAGAAACACTTCATTTAGTAGTTATTTAATTATTATTTTTAAAATTTTAGAGCTTAATTAATTAAAATTTATTTATTAATTTGTTTCTTATTTGAACCATGGAGAAAGTTAAAATTCATTTTTTCTTTTCATTTCGGACTTTGTATAAGTCTTACACGTAAACTATATATAAATGATAAAAAAAAATAAAGGAAAAATTAAAAGATTTAAGAAAGAAGAGGTACGAGTTCTTAGACAATAGAGTAGATTGTTCATTTTTTTTAAATATACAAGACTATTGCACTAATAATATTATTCAATATTATACTTTTAACTTTCAAAATTTTTAAATACACTATTATAATTATGAGCAACGTTGAACATAAATCAATAAAAGGCACAAATTAACAAGATAATTTGTAACATTCTTTAATTTTTAATCCATGATACATTTAGCTAAATATGAGTGGGTTTATTAGCTAGCCTTCAATTATAGATTCTCTTACTAGCTTGCTTTATTTTTTTTCTTTTTAATGTCCTTTTTTGTTTATTATTGTACTTTGATTTTGTGTTTATTTAGAGTTCGTAGATTATTAGTTACCTGCTTATATGTTGTAAGTTGTATTCTTCAAGATTATTTAGATTTCCAAGGTTCTTGCCCGTGAAACTGAAATCCTAAAATTATAAACTTGAAATAAATTTTAAGTTGAGTTATTGATGTTGAGGACTTCAAAGATAGTTTCTTTAATTATTGAGTTAGTTATACACAATCAATATTCATGATCATCTTTAGGAACTTACACTTTTATTTTATAAATTAACACTTTTTTTAAATAAATATATATTCATTGAGACAGGATTCACGCGCATCGCGCGTACATTATATTAAAAGCACGAAGGCCTTTAGCGAAATGTCGTTCGTCTTTTTTACCCTTTAAAAATAAATTTCACATTAGACAAAATTGTCATATTATTCTAATTTTTAGGATTTTTAAACCAATTGAAATTTTAGTTATTAAACTTTTCCTTATTTGAATTAGGTTAAAATCCTAATATCTAGGACTTAAAACTCATTAAGATGTTACGTTTAAATTTTAAAAGTATCCCTACCATCTTCAATTTACTTCTACTAAAATATAGGATGACCCAAACGATTCCATAAATAAAAAATAGGAGAAATAATTATATTAATCAAATAATAACAATGTGTTGTATATTTTATTCGGAGTGCAAAGTTACCCATGCCAATAATATGAACAAAATAATTAATAAC